TCCTCATTTACCATTCAGCAATAGATTATTTTCTCATGCTATTTGTAGCAATCTTTATAATATGCAATGCAAAAAATATCTTGGGAATTTCAACTGCTATACTGAATAAATGTTGATACTTTCTAAATGTTGGTAGCTTTACAGAAACTAAAAAGCCTGTAAGAAAATATTTCTCTTTTTGACTAAAACCAAAGAGTTTGTTCATGAGATTTTATATTTTTTCACGACATAAAACAGGACTTGTTTGTAGAAAATAATGTCTCCTTGCTGGCTAAGGCATACAGGAGAAGGTTAATATACCAAATTTACCCATTTATACATCAGGTATTTAGAAGTAGCAGTAGATAAGAAGACAGGCAAAGGAAGTTGTGACTGTTCAGCCTGGAGAAGAGAAGCTGCATGGAGACCTCAGAGCAGCCTTCCAATATCTGAACAATGCCAGAGAGGGACTCTTCGTCAGGGACTGCAGTGGTAGGACAATAGGTAATGGGTTCAAACTTAAACAGGGGAAGTTCAGGTTAGGTATAAGGAAGAAGTTCTTACCTGTGAAGGTGGTGAGGCACTGGAATGGGTTGCTGATGGAAGTGGTGAATGCTCCATCCCTGGCAGCGTTCAAGGCCTGGTTGTACAGAGCTTTGAGCAACATGCTCTAGGGTGAGGCATCCCTGCCCATGGCAGGGGGGTTGGAACTAGATGGTCTTAAGGTCCTTTCCAACCCAAACCAGTATATGATTCTATGAAGGTTAACAAATTAATTATTATGTTAAAATGTTAATAACAATTTAAATTACTTTTTTAAAATAACAATTTTAATTATGTTAAAATGTACCATACAGAGTACAGATATGCATATGAGTATGTATGTATGTGTACTGCTCAGCTGAACATCTGTGCTTTGGTAACAGGACAAAACCTTACAGTGGCTTTTCTTCCGTGGAGTCGTGCTTGCAACAATATCCTCACTCTTGTTTCCAGTCTTACAACAATGGTACTGAGTTAATCTGACACAAATACACACATCCATGATTTGTCTTTCCACCTCGTAAACCTCTTTGTTAATTAGGAAAAGCCACAGCAGTACTCAATAACACACACACAGCCATATCCATTTGCACCAAGTCTGACTCCCTTCAAAATTCTGACTCCTTGGCTTGGTATTTCCAATTAAAATTACAATAGAGAGGCAAAACAGTTCTTCACTTTGAAAGAGGAGATGCCACAGTCAGAAAGCCATGGCATTTTGAATTTTGATCCTGCCACCCTAAGGAAGTGAGCCTTCTTGAGACTTCAGCTGCAAAGGAAATAGCTAATAGGAGTGCACAGGGGCCTCAACCCAAGGTGTCTGTGCAACATGTACATAATTCCACTAAAATTAAGTTGCACAAGGAGACTAAGGAGTGATGCAATTCCAAAGTACTAGTGTACTCTGTATTGCAGGTGTAATAGAAAGGCTCACACAACTGCAAGCCTCTTCACCTTGGTGGGAGACCTGGCACATGTCAAGGGCTGTCATTGCTTCTGCCAGTGTCAGCACCAGGGGAAAAAAGCAATCTGCATACCTTTGGAGTAGATTAACCTTGCTTTAGCTCCATCAAACTCAGCGGACCCACGGAAAGGATTAATCCAGCCCTCTGTGTACTCTCAGGTACCCACCCTTCAGCTGTTAACAGTGGTAGGAAAGAAAACTCAGTTCAAAACTTCAAGCCTGACTGAACTTGGCAAGTTTAAGGTAGAAGCGTGGAAACCAATCAGACTGTTCCACTCAAACTGTTCCCAGAGAAGCCTACATTTTATCCAAAAGCTTGAACACGAAAGATTTTCCATTTCAAAAATCTGTCTGTGCTCAATCTCCAAACTTCCTAAGATTGTATCACATAGCCCTTAGTGATCCTGAATGTCCAAATGACATGGCAATGTCATGGGCAGAATAAGCAAGCTGGCTGCATGGCTCTGCCACCAGACTACAGCGAAAAGGCGTATTTCTTAAAGTTTCTCAAAAAACACCCTAAATTGTTTTTTTTTCTTTAGGAGGAGGGTCAGGAAGGGGTGGACAAGCTGGCATTCTGTTATTCGTTTTGCCCTCTTCATCTCTTGGAAGGATTGGGTTTGGATCCAGGCAAGATTCATAGCCGGCCTGAGCTATGAGGAATTCTGCCGTCAGCACCACTAACAGTTTTCAGAGTGCACTTGTAATTGCAATGAAAATTCCTATTCACACCTTTGGAAATATTGGTTTAGGCTGTTCAGCTGTGGGTGAGTGAAACAAGTATGAATTAACGCACATTCCCCACTGATCCTCAGCTTGTTACAGACAAGAATAAACTTCTGCTCTAGGAAATGGAAATTCCAGAATCTCTACACAAATCTGTATATTCATGAAATAAATCTGTCCCTCAGTATGTTGCTTAGTCTTCAGCCACTCTCAAACAGGGTTTTACAAGACATGGGAGAAAGAAAAAGGAGAGGAGCAGCAGAATTCAGCTCCTGCCAGACACTATGAATACACTATGGAGAAACTGAAAGACCTGGTAAAGCTTAATTTCACAAGGTACAAAAGGAGCACCCAGATCACTGTAGATATAAAAATCATAGAATCACAGAATGGTCTGGGTTGGAAGGGACCTCAAATATCATCCATTTCTACCCCCCTGCCATACAGTTTTCACTTAATTAACAACAGCCCAAAAGCCCTCAGTGGGAACTGCTCCCAAAAAGGAGCCAGCAGAAGCATGCTCCACATGGAGCTACTCTTGCTGACAAAGCCTGCCAGTTGCAGTCCATAGGGTTTGGGAAGCCTTAAACATCTTCACAGTGTGGGTCACAACTCCCAAGCCAAACGCAAAACAAGACCATCTAACCATCTAGGTGATCTAGCCTTATAGACCACCTAACCTAGTCATTATGGTGACTCACACAACTGTTTATGTGGAAAGGTATTAGAAAGCCATGGCGGCATACCGGGTGGTTTAAGGCATTACACTGGGAAAAAGAAGAGCCACGAAGGCATCCCAACCTCTTCTAGTCCCTTCAGTGTTAGTCTGCCACGGCTGCAATGATGGCAGGACCCAGCTCTGTCCACACCTCACAGCACACAGCTGAAGATGCAAATATCTGCCAGTTTCCTAATGCTGCCACTAGCAAATGACCATAAACTTTTTTTATATACTACTTTATTTAAGAAATTGTGTAAGTCTGATTCTAATTTATGGTAGTAGAGAAGATGGTGCTTGCTTTCTTAAAATTATCACTTATGGAAACAAAGCTTCTGTGGCAAAAGATCACTATTTTTTATTGACAATAAACAAGGACTGTCTTTTCAGTCCAAGCAAGGTGTTGAGAAGTCACCAATCAAATGTTATTCATTTCAGTAAAGAAAGGACTGTATAAAATTCACTTCAAATTATGAAAATTTTCTTCAGCACATAGTATGAGGAAAACAAAACATTTTTCTTTCTTTATGTAAGAGCTTGGAAAACTTCACACTCCCAAATTATCCCACTTATTATTTGGTAATTAAATCACTGTAAATTACTATATCTTAACCTCTGGTCTCTCAAATATAAGGAGAGAACCCCAAAGCTAAGCAGCAGTGTAGGGCACTGGTGGTGCTGAGTACTTGGGGCCATCCCCCAGCACCTGGCCTTCTCAGCCCTGCTGGAAGGTGCAGAAGGTAGTGAAGCTCAGTGCAGGAGGAAGGGAAGCTCAGTGCAGGAAAACTATTCAGGCCTTGCCTGCCTCCAAAAGACAGCAGAAAGATGCTGGGTTAAGCACAAATTATCAAAGGAAACGCACCCCCAGCTTCCTCAACACAATGGTCTTTCCTCACAAGGACACAGTGAGAGCCTGACATACTGTTTTAGGTACTCATATATCCCACGCATTTGGGTGGTTAAAGTTCATTTGGAAATCACAGTTCCTGCAGACTGCAGCCATATGTTTATGTACCAGAGTAAACAATCTCTTCACTTGAGTCCTTGGCTACTGCTGATGATGACTGATTTCAGAGACATGTTGTATCCGTTTCCCAGGATGACAGCCCCAGGTAAAGCAAAAGCTGAGACTATCAAGCCAAGATTACTTGCTCTACTGCCCTACTCCTGCTGACACTGCAGTGTGATATTCCCACAGTAAGATTTGAGGAATGCATGAAAAAAAGCCACAGTTATAAAATATCCCATCAGATTAAACTGTAAAACATCCAACAGGATGCAGACATAAATGCAAGGCATACCCACTTAACTCAAAGACAGTAGAGAGCTTAATCACTTTTGAGATAACTAAGCCATCTCAGCAATACCAGTTGGGTTAGTTCCACAGATGATGACCAAGTAACTTAAGAAAGCAGTACCCACCAAATACTTCAGCTATCAACTAATTCATAACAAAAATTTAACACAATCCTCAGACATTCAAATCCATGTACAATTCAAATGGGATGCTAAACCAATTCATAACTGAGAGGGATCCAGTTACACTGTCAGCATTTATAATCCCAGTTTTGCTGCCATTTATTGTTATAGTTTTATATGAAATATTTTTAAAGAAAAGTAGTTCAAGGCTAGTAAACACCAAACCAGTGCTGGACTTCCAATGATACTTCTTTCACTGTTTGGAGTCCCTAAGATTAGGTGTAGTTGCTGGAGCTCCTCTCCCTGTTTTGCAAATGAGTTATTCTTCTGGGGCTGTCTTCCCACGTATTCCAGGATACCAGTCATACCTTCTGACTCTTGCATGATCTGGAATTTCCACCTACTCATGGGGCTGTGGTGCCTGTATCAGCTTTTTTTCTTGTCTGCGTGCTCCTCAAGATTAGAATTCATTCATTAAGAATAAAGTCAGGAGGTTTGCAAAAAAAAACACAGGCCAGAAGCCTTTATTGGCTGAAATTTCCCTGCTTCTTTCCTCAGCAAGAAAATAATCATGACAACAAGAAAAAAAAAAAAAAAAAACACCCCCAAAAAGGAACAAAATATTGTTTCTGTTGCAAATATTATCCTTGTCTCTTGTTTTCGGGCTCTTATTTTGCAGAGTTTAAAAAATGGCAACGTTTCCTCTTCCTTTACTTTTTCCCCCCCCTCAGAGTGCAGCATCAGTCATTAGTTTCTTCTTAATTTCTGAAGAAAAAAGAGGCAGATGCATAAGAAAATGTGATTTCACATGACACAGAATATCTTAAATTTGAACAAATTTTTATATTTCAAAGTTAGACAAACAAAGACTATTTAAGGCATATGACACCTTTCAATTAGTCCAGAGTAAGGTAATTCTGTTTCCAAAATAAAAGTCTGCAAATGGCAATCCAAACACAAAGTTTTCATTTTCCTTTCCCTTTCCTCTTCTTACTTAGAAGTTCTACCTTGTCTATGCCTATGGAAATCTTAGAAATAACTGGTCCTGTATAATTGTTCAGCTCACAACAGATAATATCTGACAGAGGACAAAACTTTGCTATCTGTATAGGTTGGACAGAGCCTTGGGTGACATGGTCTAGTGTGAAACATCCCTGCCCATGGCAGGGGGGTTGGAAGTAGATGATCTTAAGGTCTTTTCCAACCCAAACCATTCTGTGAGTCTATCAGTCTATATTACTGACCTATAAGTCCGATTCTAAAAGCAGATAAATCTAAGAACTAGGTATAGGATAATAGGATCTGTCTTGGACAGCAACCCAAGAAAAAGTACCATTCTCATTCATGCCATAGTTTCAATCCTATATTCAGAGGAGCTACTGCTGTCTTAGAACTCTTTCTTTATCCCCTCCTTCTCAAAAAAAAATCAGCTGGCCTTTTAATTACCAACAATAGCCTCTTCTTTCTTGCTGCTACTCTCTACTTCCTCTCTTTCAGGAAGAGATGTCATCTCTGGCTCTTGGTGATTCTGATAGGAACTCTGGTCTGGTGGTGTCCCTCCCTTTTGTTTTTCAGCATGTGGCATGGATCCCAGTGTTGTTCCATTGGGCACTTGAAAACGGGGGGAGGAGGGTAGGCAAGGTGCCTGAGCATAGGAAGTCTGCTCAGTGAAGTACTTTCCTCCTACTGTGCTAGAAAATGGCACTCGTGAGCACAGCTGATTTGAGAAGGGAGCTCCCTGCATGTAGAAATCATTCCAGGGGACAGCTGGATAGGCAGGAATGCCTGCTGAGGAAAAAGCAACAAAGGACAGAGTAATGAAAATAAGGAAAGGAGGACTAAAATCACGTATATAAAAATATATATGTATGTTGGGCTTAAGAGAGCACATTCAATGCAAATACGGTTTTGCAGACATCACACACATGAAGGTAAACTTTGTTGTATACATTGCAGTGTATTTATCCAAAACATGGTTATTAGAAGGAAAAACTTTGGAAGTTCATACTGTTGTTATAATCTAAAAAAAAAAAAAAAAAGGCAAAAAAACCCCACAACCATGTCACTTCAGCATATATCCTGAGTGCATGTAATAATATTAGAGACACACACCCCAACTGTCTTTCCTCCACTCCTATCTTCCAAGTAAGCTCTGCAAAGCATAAGCTGGATGCTTAATCTTCACTTTCATATATAAAAGCTGCCATCCAGGAAGCAGGAATGTTTTTTAATGAATATGTATAATCCATCTGAACTGCTCACTTGCTTACATGCTGAGGAAAAATTAGGAGTGTGCCTATATTTACAGATTGGTTCCCTCCCCATTTAACTTCTGGAACCCCAGGCCCTGGTTGTCAACACTGCATAACAATCAGAGGATCCCTTCCTTGAACAGAAGAGCCGGGCACTGCTAATTGTGCTCTGGACCTAAGTATAGCATAAGGGAACATCATCTCTGCCTCTGTTCAACAATCCCCCAACTTTACCAGTCCTAACAAGGTTTGCACCTTTACATATCCCTTTATGCTCACAAGACATGCCTTAAGGCATGCAAGCCACTTCTGGCATCACTCTATACAAACATAACACCATGCAATGGAACACAGCCCACCCCATTACTTCTGGCACTTCAAACTGAAACACCACAGAAAATAATAATTATCCCTTACAAGCAGAAAGGAGAATCCTTTCTGTGCTAGATAGCATGCGTGCTGCCAACCTGTTCTGCAGAGTGGTAGACATGAACAGTGTGAACATGAGCCAGCTTGTACCACCAGCCTGTGCGTCAGACTTCTCTCCCCAACAAGGTCCACAAAACAGTGGAAAAACAGGAGCAGCTCTGTGGTCTGAAAACTCCTTGCTCTTTTATAAGATAAGAGAGATATTTTTTTGGACCGTAAGCTTAATTTAACAAACCTGACAGTCCAGACAATAAACTGCAATAGTTCACCTTTTGGTTGTATCTCGACTTGAACAACTTCAAAAATACAAATCCCTGACATAAAACAAGGAGACTGACAATGCCATTTTTACCTAGTTGCTTTTCTACTAAATTTCCTGAAATGCTTTCATCTAAGTGGTACTGCAAATTCATATCAGAAGAAGAAAAAGAAAGAAGCTCTATCTATACTATTATCCCATCTAACTCTCTCCTTTTGCACTACCTTTACATACACAACATTCTTTCAAAATGGTGTCTGCAGAAGCCCAGCAGTTGGAAGCATGCTTTTTTTTTTTTCTGCCTACACCTATTCCATTTGCTGTGGCACCTTTCTCACTTTGCACCCTTGACCCCCACCCACATACACTGAAGGCATGTCAGTCTGCACAACAGTACACTCCTGAAAAATAAAAGTTAGCTTTCCATTACAGACAGAACTATTGCAATACCTGAGATACTCACATAGTAATGCTCTCTCTGACATGCAGCCTGTGTAGTAACTTTTGAATCAAATTAATGGGTCACTCAGCGCTTTTAAAAAATAACATAGTAGAAAATACGTAAAAGGCAGCATATATATCTATATAGATATATTTGTGCATATATATGCACATTCCTCCTTTCTCTCACAGTCATCAGTAAAACCTCTGGTCATCCTGAATGTTTCAGTGCACTGTTTAGTTACTCCAGAGGAGCAGGATGCCAAAAGATTTCAGAATTTACCTGAGTTTTCACTTGGCTGCTGTAACAACAGTTGTTCCCCCACGTGGCTTTGTATGTATGCTTGTGTGGTTCCCGGTGCCCCATGGGTTACAACTCCACTGTTACCAGGTAAGGGGAGGAAAGCTGTATGGGACTCAGTGGGTGTAGGACTGAGGTGGACACTGGCGAGCACATTGCTGGTCAGGTGAGCTGGCAGTTGGTGGAACTGGGAGAGCTGGTGCTGCTGGGGATATTGGGGCAGCTGGTAAATTCCATCCTGGCTGCCGTACGAACAGTATGTGTCCTCTAGGTTGCCTGCTGACTCCAGCTCCTCAGGGTAATTGAAGGGAACTGGTGAATTCAAACTGCAAAGAGCAAGGAGAGAAGCAATTCAGAGATTCAAGTAGGGTCAACAGCTACAGCAACCTGTAAACAACTGCATCTTCCCCCTGACAGCTGATATGACTCCAGCCCTTCCTCTCAAATGCAAGGAGGGAGAAGGGTAACAGAAACCACTTGAGCCAGGGCTTTCACAGCAAGATTCTTTAACAGTTGTGTTAGTGGGGATTACCTTTCCTGCAGTTCTTCCCACTTTCCAAAGCACACCCTAATGCTTAAAACATCTGCACTCAAGAATTCCTTTTCACTGTGCTTCTGAACCATACTTTCACTTGACAGGCATGCAGTTCTGAAAACACTGTTACTAAAGGCATCACTTTATCAACAGCTGGTGACCTGTCCTACCACACAGGTTATACATATTTTTCATATTCCATTTAAAGGACATTTTCATTCCCATGTCTGACTTTAAACTTGCGCTATTTCCTTGTCCCAAGTCCCACCTTCACCCTCCCAAAGTTTCTCCCAGGGTTCACTTTTTTAATCTCGTTTGTTCCTACCCTTGATTCTGGATGCTGTACGTGAAGGCCTCTCTCGAGCCATTTTGCTGACAGGAAAAGTAGCATTCACTGTTGGGAGTGTCCAGCATCAAAGGAACAACGTGGTTGTGCAAGCTGACAGCCAAACTGAGGGGCAGGCTGGCCCTGCGGATGGGTGGAGGGCTGGGAAGACTAGGGAAGCACTCCATTCTGCTGAAACTGAAGTTGAGCTGTGGCAATGCCTTTGTCTGAACTGCTTCACAGGATGTCACCATTCCTACCACTGATGATACTGTAAATAAAAAGAGGGACTGTCATGCTATGCTGTCATTCTGAAAATTAAAAGGAGCAAGCAGAGGGAATGACAAAAGTGGCAGAACAGAAAAACAAGATGCCAGTGAAAGAGTGGAGGTTGACTGATGGGAATAAAAGTAAACAAGCACCAGCATTGCTGCTGGGAAGCAAAAGGGGGGAGTAGTAGCAAGCTCTCTGGAACAGAGGATGATGTTTATTGGTTAAATAAAATTACCTTCATGATTTCAGTCTCTCCATACTAGATTTATTCTGCTCTCAAGGCAGCCAAATGAAGCAGAGTACTTCCTGGAAAAAAGCCAGGAACAATCCCCCAGCCATCTTCCATCTCTGCTGTCCTCTGGGAAGAGTGTGCTGCACAGATTACTCTTTTGAAAAATGTAACTGTGGTTTGAAAGAAACAAAAATGTGCCTGTAGAGATCCACTGTCTGAGCCATCTTTTAACCAAATTTTCATTCCTGGTTTGGCCTCTGATGAGTCATGCCAAAAAAAATAGTTAGGAAAAAAATAAAAAAGCAGATACATCAGCTGAAGGGCCTTGGGAAAAAGAAGCTGGGAGGTGGAAAAGGAAACCAACACCATTTGGTTGCTAGAATGTTGTTTGGTAACCCGTCTCCTCGGTCACTGCTGGAAAAGGAGGGAGGAACAGAACAGCCTCTGCGGAAAGAGGACAATATAGGAAATGAAAAGGTCAAAATCATGTATACTGGTGATCCAGAGTAACATATATACACGGAAGTTCAAGAAGCGTGCACATGGTGAACAAGATTCTGTTTTATTGTGCCAAACGGCAAGTGATTTCCTTCTTGAGAAGTGTTAATGATCAAGTGTGCATGACACAACTTGAAATGATTTTTAAGTCCGTGGCAGGGGTGTTGGAACTAGATGATCTTTAAGGTCCCTTCAATCTAAACCGTTCTGTGATTCTGTGAAGTCTAGCTAGGCTGAACCAGCACAAAGATGAGGTAGGTATGTATGAGAAAGTATCACTGACTGTTCAGGTAAAGTTGGTCTACTCCCACCCACTAAAGTATTCAGGGAAAGCTAGTAGCATGGGTGGCTTACAGCTGTACTTCACCCTTGCAAACATAGAGAGTAACATCAAATACAATCCACCAGATGTGAATCAAAGGCCTTAAACATAAAGCCTAAAGACAAAACCTAAACATAAAGCTGCCACAGCAAGCAGAGCAACTTTTAGAGAATTTTGGAATGCATGCCCAGAGAACTGACAAGGAGATGCCACGTTAACATCTTACAGCATCAGTTCTGAGATTTGCCAGTGTGCTGTGCAACTGTGCCTATCTTGTTGCACCTTCACATATCAATTTTTTTTCAGCTCTCTGCAACTGTGGAGAGAGGGAGTTTTCATTTCAATGAAAACATGAATAGGTTCACTTAGAAAACTAGAGCACGATCTGGGGTGGCATCCCTAAAGCATTCACATGCCCAGACATGGTTTACATTTTTTTATTTGAACATATGACTTCTTTATGTCAGGCAGCATTTACAATGTACCTGTCACATTCCTGGGTTTTGACACAGCATAAATCTACTCCCCACACAAACAAAGCACTTGTCAACATTTTATTTCCTCAGAAGTCAAAATGGCTTAGCCAGAAATGAAGCTGAAGATCTCTTCTGATTTTTTTTTTTTTTGAACCTCCATTTGCATTGGTTCTTTTAACTATTTTGTCACAGAATGTAGGAGTTCACACAAACATTATGAAACAGAAGCCATGTGAGGGACAACTTACCAGAAAAAGACTATATCCAGACAAAACTTCAATAATGACAGTGTTATTAGCTATTCTGCACAAGGCCTTGGTCTTGCTCAGGATGAATACAAGCAGTATTAACACCAGAGATAAGGAAGTTGCTTCTAAACCCACTTTCACACCTAGTAAGAATTAAGTTCTGGGTTTGAAACATTTTCAACAACACAGATAATCTTTGTGGATCACGGCACTAGGACACAGGCAAAAAGATGGTGAAGATGGCACACTTGGCCTCCAAAGAGCTGGTTCAGCCTTTTCTAAAGCTGCTCCTACTTCTCTGCCCTTTCAAAGACAGACACAGAATTTCTGTGTCTGAATAAAGTCTTCTGAATAAAGTCACAAATGCAGTAGGAATAAATAATTGCCAGAGAAGTAATACCTGCTAAATCTGACACTATATTTACAGATCTTGTTTAGTGATGAATTCTGATCACTGGCTTGAGATAATACTTACATTTTCCAAATCTGTTACTCTTCCTGACATTGATACAATAACCACAGAGGCTTTCCAGTGAACATGAGAATGTAACAGTAGGATCTTTGTTTATCTCTTCCATTATTTCTGGATTTTCAGCCCATAAGATAACCTTGGGAATTTCCTGAGAGCAACATAGTAATTTGCAGCTTCAAATCTCTGAACCAGTCCTGGTGCTACACTTGTCTTAACATAAGAATTGGTACTTGAAGTCTTTGGCTACACAGATATCTTCCCCCTATATAGCTGCTTCCTCAATATCCTGGCAGTTAGAAGACCCATTAAAGAAATGCACATAGCTTCTAATGAATTGGACAGAGCCTTAAATTAACAGAACTGGATGTGTATATATTTCTGTCAGGATGAATGTGATTTAAGTCTTTCACCAGTCTTGAAGGAGACTTAAGGCCTATTCTAGAAAGGTGCCCATGAACTTCCAACAGGGAATGGTTTCAGCTGTGAGAAGGCTCCTTTCACTGTTATTAACAGACCAGATTATGTGCACAACAGTTGTTGCCTGAGTGACACCTCCCTGCCCTTGAGGCCTTCCTCTTGACATCAGCCATACATGACTTTCTTAGTGAAGCACTTATGCTGACTCCAAAAGGCTTTGGCATGAGAAACCTGCAATGATTCTGGCAGTTAACTATGCAAATTGAGAGGCCAGAGACCATGACTGTAACTGTTTAAGAAGCCCAGTACTGGGCACTATGCAGCTGACATTGATTAAAGGCTGAACAACCTAACTAACCTCAGATAGTCTACTTGCTATGGCTGCTCTGTCAAGCATCAAATCAAGAGTACAGCAAAAGGCTCTATTACTAAGAGTCTCTATATCACACACAATCAAATCCAGTTTCTTTTAGTGAAACCATTTACAGGAACATTAAGGGCCATCACAAAGCTTTTCATCAATACATCCTCTTCTTGAAAACACAAGAAAATACATTTCTCTGTAAATGACATTTTGAAGGTAAACAAAATATTAATCAAACAGAAGCAAGAGTGTTCTTAATTTAATGGACTGAAGATTAGTAAATCAGCTTCAGGCTCTAACTGCACTGCTTTGAGAAGCATGTTACTCTGATCCTCTTCTGGAACCTACCACTTGTTTGAAAGGTATGACTCTTTCTTGCCATGGCTGCTACACATCATCAGCTTTAAAGTAACTTGTTCAAAAGCCAGAATCCTCTAAGTGAAACCATTACAGCATGTCATTTATTTACCATTCTTTGACAGACGATATCCAACTTTATCCAACTGCTCCCAAGATGTAGATTACAATCCCATCTCTGCCACTGAAAATCATCTTGCTATTTGCATCAGAGCTACCAGCACAGGCTGGGCTCCTGATATTATTCCTGGGCCCTTGAGATAGCCATATGAAACAAAGTAGTTCCTACAAAAGCATCTGCGGGGCAGAAAAGTCTCCTCCCACAGACCATGGGCATAGAAAGTATTTTTAATTTCTAAAGTTAACTCTAAAGAAACATAAGCCAATGTTTTAAGTCAATGACTCTCTCTCTCACACACACACACATTTATATATCCATAAGAAATCTCAGAAAAATAAGAAAAATTTCAAATAACTGCCAATGTCAAAAACCCTACATTAATTTAAAGCAACCTATCTGTCTAGCAAAAGCAGCAAAAAAAAAAAAAATAAAATCCAAAGATCAGAATAAGGTCAAGATGGAATTTTTGAAGCAGAAAAGGCTGTTAGGGCAAGTAGTGGGTCTAATACCAAAACCAGAAGCCATAACTGCCAGCAAGGTAAAATACATATCAAATACATTTTTAATCAGCTTGTTTGGAGAGCTGTACGAAACAGTGGGACATAAAAGAGACCCCACATCAGACAGTCAGAATTACTGTCTAGAGCAAGGGAAAACAATGGAAAAGGCAGGACTGAACACTCTCCAAAAGTGTCAGGTAACAAATCATACTGTTCTCATGCATGTAAGTCATTTCCTTGTCCTGCTGAAAGTGGTTAAACACATGGCTACCAAGGAAAGCACCTGAATAGCCATTCCATTAGGCCACAGTCTCCAGATATAACTGCACCATTATGCACAGGTCACAAATTATTTTGCTGAAACCCACCATTAGCTGTTTCCACAAGGTTCACTTCTACCAAGCAATTGGTTTTTGCCTTCTAAGTTGATGACTTAATTCATTTGTTCCCTCTTTTGTTTTGCCTCTGTTATTTTGGATTTTATCCTATCAAGTTTTATTTCCTTCTTTTTCCGAGATCTTCTAATACAGAAAGAAGGTGGACCCTAGATGGCTGTATTTATTGTCAAGCCTTTTTTGAACAAGGAGGCTGAATGAATTAAGAAGTCGGATCGTCTTTCTTTCCATTTCAGTTTCAGCTTTCATTCTTAAAGAGAAAAGTCTGCCTGTGCAATGCTAGATAACAAAAAAAGCAAGTTTCACTCCCCATGGCTGTGTTATTATGTTTCTAGTAAGGCAAAATTGCATCTGAAGCTTTTCAAGCAACTCTACCATGCAGATTTCTCTTCCATGAGGAGTCTCTACACCTAGTTAAGTCTTTTTCCTCAGAGGGAGCACTAACTTAGGTCTCTACACTGCCTGGGCACCAGTTCTTCCATGACTTGTAAGAATGTAATTTTTAAGACTTCCACCTTTTATGTACACATTTGGAGGGCAGGGTGGGTGTCTTATACACACACCACATTCCTCCCTTCCCTCAAGGAAGGAGGTTAAAAACCAATCACCAAACCTCACCATGCAGCAAAGCATGCCTCTTCTCTGAAGAGTGATTTAGAAAAGGTTCTCTTCTTTTTGCACCCACATCTGTATCTGGAAAGTATTTACCAGCTTTAGATGGCACAAATAGATTTCATTACTCCTTGCCCAGCATGATTTAAAGAGAACATGGGGAAGCTTGTTCCCTCTTATAAATGTAGCAGAATGAAGTGCATTCTCATCTTCACAGATCCATTACACTGAAGATATAGGGGTTTCAGATGAGCAAAGGAAGCATGTGTTTCATAAACGCTAGATGCATACACAAATGCAATAGATGTCAGCCAGCTGGAAGTTCAAAGGACTGAAGGAGTAAAAAAACCCAGCTATCTTTGTTGCTTATTTTCTCACATACCCAGTCCACTCTCAGAGACGCTCACTTGCCCTTTTTCTTCCTTACACATTGCACAAAGAATTCACAGGACATTTCTTTTGTATCAGAAAGATTGTTGGTGTTTTCTACACAGAGAATTGCATCCCACTGTGCAGATTCCCCAGAAAGAAATTGCTCCATACAGACAGATGACAACATCACATCCCTGAATCTCTTCAGCATATTCTCTCTTGACTAAATAGCATGTTTGCAGATGTACTTTAGGAAGCAGGAAAGTTCTGAATACAAGAGCAGAAAGATGAGGATGTTTGGTTTGTTTCCTTTAAATTAATTACTTTGCAAAATCTTTGTCTAATTAAATACAGGACTCAACAGACTGCACCACTTCATCATTCTGGAAAGCAGTGAATTATTCAAACACTTTGCCCATATTTATTCTGCTACACAAAGAAATGGAGAAACTGGAACTAACTGAATTACAGTCGTATTGGTTAAACAGCTCATAAGATAGACTGAAGTAGTCCTTGCCTTGCAACTATGACAGGCAAATTTAAACAAGTCCTAAATGATGGTATCAAGGTAATATCTCAGTTAAGTACTTTTAGCATACATATCTATTTATTGGTATCCTAAGCTTATTGGTACAATCTTATAGTTGATTTCTACTGTGCCGAAATACTTTTAAGGTATCAGCATTATTAAAAATACATTGAAGTCTTTGAGTCATTATTAGAAAATGACGTGGATAGAATTGCCCTTAATACTGATAACACTGTATATTTAGAATATAATGAGCGGGCAGAAATGATGACATAAAATTCAGAAGAATTAATTACACTGGGAAGCAGGAAAATATGTACAGCAGTACCAGATGTCAGCTCATTTACTGCTTGGGATATCCATCCCTAAGGAAGTGGCGAAGTCCTCATCACTTTGGAAATATTTTCAAGTTGTGCCAACTTGGAAACATAAACATATATAGGAAATGCTCTAGGGAACATTCCTGACTCTAGGGAATGGTCTGGTACTTCATGCATGAATACACAATTGAACTAATCCTCTCCCTTTGGATGCCATGTATCTTTAAAGTCTAAATACAGCTTACATAGAAAAACGGTCAAATAGCACACCCCACTGACTTTCAACAACACTGCACCAGCAATTAAGCTGTATGCTTAAGCACTCAACTAGTCTCACTCCCTCAAGATCTTGCACAAAAACTGCACTGGCTGGAGAAGTCAAGGAACTTCCTTTGGAGATTTAAACGTATGGAGTACCTGAGGGAGGCTCTACAACCCCAACAGTTAAGATTTTATACAGTGCATGTTCCTCAAACAGCTCACTTGACTACAGATTCAAGGCAGGATGTTATAGCCTAAACCAGAACATGGGATGTGTGTATCTGCCATGAGGGACATAATAACCAGAATAATACTTTCATCATAATTCAGAGAAGCAGTACTAGTGTCAAACAACTTTTATGGAAGAACGCCCCAGCCATGTATGCTTATGAAGTCATATTCAGAATTCCTTAATGGCTTGTGCTAGGACATGAACAAGACTGCAAACTTGGTACATAACTGATACTCAGTTAGCAGAGAGCTGTTAAACCTGATGTCACTTTTTGGACTGACGACATAGGGATCTCAGATGACGGTCCCTAAAGTGTTTGAGAACCTACCAGCACCACCAGCTAATGCTGCAGCTCCACAAAACACCTGTGATGATACAGGGTCTCACCTGAGGAGGAGGCAAGTGGTGCAGGATATCCACTGAGCAAGCTGGAGTAGTTCCCACCTGTAGTGTCAACGTCCAGCACAGCAGACTGGTCATGAGCAATGTCAGGCAATGGAGGCATGGGCAGAAGAGGTGGCCTGGAGGTATACATAAAGTGTATGAGCATGGACCAAAGGACAAGACAAGACATTATAATAATGTAATCTCTTCTAACTGTTCTACGATGGGCAAATCCTAGAGCCAGAGCCATTTAAACAGTTTTATTCAAAAACAGTGCTCCAGGTTAATCAAAAGTGCTTTTAAGAGAGTCCACTACGACTTGCCCATAAATCCAACATGCTACGGAGGTCTAACTGAATGGTCAGTTCTCCATAGGTTAAAAGTGAAGGGGAAATGGCAAGGGAAAATACTTAGTTCATTAGGTATCTGTTGTGGAGAAATGAGAAAACAGAGTTAAGTCCCTCACCCATAACCATCTGACCCAAGGGGGACTTACGGTGCTGAGGATGTTGGATGCTTTTTGTCGCTTTTCACACTCAACTTCTCTGATTTCCGCCACTTTGCCCTGCGATTCTGAAACCAGACCTGATAAATGCAAGAAAGGATGCATTCAAAGAGGAAACCATCTACACATGGGGACACAGGCAAGGAGGCAACAATGACTGCCTCCACACATAACCAGATAAGAAACCTTTCTTCCTGCAAGAACCTGCAAGATTTATTGCAAATAAAAGAGAAGAACAGTAGAACAATACCTCCTGAACACCAGTTTCCTTTGTTGCTCATGATCTTCAAGGTAAGAGATTAACTCCAGCCTCTTTTACCTACCATGTGTCTAGTCTTAGGAAATGGGAAGAGATGGAGTACACAACTGCAGGCTCCACTGCCATTCTGAATGGGGCAGTTGGTTGTGCAGTGTCCATCCTTGTGAGGTCTTTTCCTTCTCTCGTCACCAGTGGCAAGTGCAGTCTCTAGCCTGCTACTCATGAGCTCCTCTTTCCTTCCTATTCAAGTTCTTCCTCTGTACCCCAGTCCCTCTCCCATCAATTTTCTGCACAGAACGCACACACTGTCAGCACTGTTACCCATGCAGGCGTTACCATGATACGCTGTGGCGTTACACCAACCACAGCTGCAATCTCCTTCCTCTTCTCATTGTCGGGGTAGTGGTCTTCGTGGAACATCTTCTCCAACTCTTCTAACTGCTCTAGATATGGTACATTGTTCAGAGAGAGAGAAAAACCGGGAGTACGCGATAAGAAAACAAACAAAGAAACAAGACAGGAAAAGCCAAAACAGAACATTTTTTACTATACCTAAAAATACTTCAACAACATAAGAGATTTTTTAGTTTGTTTGGTTTGGGCTTTTTTTTCAAGTAAACCACAAAAGTAAAAATCTTCTACACTAAAACAAAGAGCATTACTAGTGATGCTTCAAGCATCAGGTACTCAGAAACCTTTATTTGAAGAAGCCTTCACACATCTAAATGTAGAATGCATTGCAATGCCATTTAGAGCAGTTCAGCACCCCCATACTGTGCCTTAAGTATGGTGAAGGAAACATCAGTGCCATTGACACTACAAGTGTCACTGCCAGTGGGTTCCCCAGTATCTACCTGCGTTATAGAAGGTGCGTAACTTCTTCCTGACTGGTGGCAGAATTATTGGATTCTCAAATAATTTCTTCTTTCCCTTGGTCCCATCATGGCTACTTCCACATTCCAGGACTGAAGACATGTTGTAGGATTGCTGAGCTGCAACGCTGCCTGAAGTACATTTGGATGATCGGTGAGTAGCTGGGCCACACACGTCCTGTCTGCAGAGGTCTCCAGGTATTCCACCAGGTACTTTATTGGAGTACATCCCACTTCTGTTTTTACTTTTCTTCTTCTTTGCCTCCTTTTCAATCCCATCAGAGCAATAGCTCTGACACTGCTCATGGGACCCTGACTGTGATGTGGGCTCCTGTGCAGATTCAACCACAGAAAGTGGAGGCACAGCCTTTGTGTCACTGAGGAAATTTGACAACCTCCCACATACAGAGGCAAGGTCAAGCTGGCCATCAAAGGCTGCTGAGTCTTGGGAAGCTGACCCAGTTGCCTGCAGGGTGCAGTATCTTCCATCTTTCTCCACCTCCTTTATAAGGCTGATTCTATCTTCTGTTCCCAAGTTATCCTCAACTTCCCTTATAGCTGTGCTTTGGGACATAGATAGCATACTGCTCCCTGTACCATGCCCACCAGCAGCATCAGCATGTACCACAAAGTGCTCAGTGTTCAATGATGCATCCTCCTTCTTGTCCTTGCACTCTACAGGGGAAAAATTAAAAACAACACCCCACAACCCCCCCCCACGCATATTGTCTAAGCCAGATGTGCTGTGCCTGGATGGCATGAAAAAAAAGAGTGTGTTGGGTTAGGAGGTGCCAGTTATAGGAGAAGGAAAACACTACACAATTAAACCCAACAGTGAAAAGAACTAGAGTTCAGGATAAAGACTGTCACCATACAAGTGCTGCTAGGAAAGCAACAGCAAAGAATGGGATCCGGTCAATATGGAGCTATTCAAACATCTGGGACAAGAAAAGCCTCATTTTGAGAATGAATATGCCTGCAAAATCAACCAACTCTAAACTAGAGGAAGAATTAATTCCAGGCTCAGAGAATAAAGGAAAGGTTGTGTATTATAACGACAGAAGTGGGAAAACAACACTGGGGATAACAAAGGTCTTTGGAATAAGGAACAGAAAATGATTCAATGACTTACCAGGACACTAAGTGTCATCTTATTAAAATGAGCAAAAAAAAAAATACAAGCAAAATTATGGTCTACTGTATGAGCAGTGATTATTTGACAAATTACATCACTCTTTGATTTATAGAGGTTTTTGTTTCTATCATGCTCAAGTTGACCAAGCAAAACACCCCAAAACTGTAGAAACTTCAAATAACTACCTTAAATTAGTTTTCTGCAGCTTCAGGCATAACTTATGACAGACAAATCTATAAGGTTGGCTGAGGACAAAAGTAGGTGAAAAAGTCTGACCGAGTTTAACGAAAAGCACAAACTCCATTAAAATAAGAGAGCCTGGACAGTATAAGACAGGTCAGAAAGAGCATTGCAAGAGAAATAATTAAAATAGGTAACAGAATAATGAAGAAGCATTGTACTTTCCCAGCTGGGATGTACGTTTCCAAAAGAAAACCTGCTGATTAGATTAGAATGTGTGAGTCTGTGATTTCTGCACTTAAAAATAAATTTAAAAAAAGACAAGTTACTATTGTTTAAGAATAGAAAGTAGACTAATAAAACCAAAACCATATATCTGTCTCTGGAAAGAGGAAAGTTTGAACAGGCTGGTGGCAGTTGTATGTGCCTACAGAGAAATGTGGTTATTTGGGAAGTATCTTAAATAATTTCATTTCACTCTGTCCTGCTTTTGATATATACATATATGCCAAAATAAAGAACTTGCTTTCTGCCTCAGTGTTTCTTTCTTAAATAATTGTTTAGCAAGATGGAACCCCACACCACCAGTCAGATGGGACAATCTTTATGGAAGTACAAGGGGACGTCAGGCTGCTTCCAAGACCTTCTAATTTGCTTTTTATAGGATTAAGAGAACTGAATTAGTTGCAGGGGAAAGAGACAGAAGCAGGAAACTATGCAACTGTAATAATTTGATCATGCTAAGTAGCAACAGTTTCCACTGCTATTAAATGAGATGAAATATCCTGATGGGGAAGGTCAAGAACTGAGAGAGGCAGGAGCTGGCTATGCTCTATATAATTCATTTTTCGACTATCCTCCTCACTCCTTCTGAGCTCATCTCACTTGTTATGTGAAAAAGGGAAAATTTTCACCCGTCATCCATTCAGCTCACCCGGTCTCAAATCAGGAACAGCATTTTCAGATTAGTGCTTTGATTTGAGAAGGCTTTTTACTTCTTTTTATGCAAACACCGGTGTGCGCTTACATCACAAAATACATTTCAAAGTCTTGTGTATATACTTTGTATCTGCAGCAGAGAAAGAGATTAACACCTGGGAGTTTTGTGTCATCTACAGGAATATTCCTTCCAGTGAAAGTAAATTGCTGTCTCTAACGCATACAGCAAAGGCTTGACAACGTCTTGGGACTGCCAAAGAAAAATACTGAGATGAAAATAAAGTCTGAAGTAGGCCTGCATGGTAACAAATAGGGCGTTAACCAAACCATTCCTTTCTTCATCACTCAAATGATGAGAGACCAGACCAAACATCCTACTTTGTTCTATTTTTTGATAAATACAGCCTTACATAGAAGGGATTTTAACTGACTGGGAACATCATAGGGTCTGGAATGCCTGAGCTGCTGAAGGTGCACGGACAGGAAGCAAAATCCTCTTCTCACTGCCACCTCTTTAGATGTTTCTTGGAGCAAGAAAACCACTTGGCACAGCAACAGCAAGATTTTAAAGTTTTTTCTGGAGCATAAAAGCAACCTGAACACACACGCACAAGCAGAAACATCAGCTTCACAGGTCCATTCACACAAGCTCGGACAAGAGGGAGGAAAACTGGACAGTGGTCAAGGTGGTGAGTGCCGGGAGCCTAGAAGCCCAGAGGCAGTATGAACCCCTGCGTGGTACAAAGGGATATGAAGGGATGACCACCCAACCCTCACACCGGCTCCCCAGGCGCTTTTACAAGCCATGGGACACCAGGACCACGCAGCTATTGCCGCAATCCACACCTCAAGGCACCGCGGGCTAAACTGCGCCTTCCCGCCAAGACACCACGGGCAGCCTGCCTGAGGCGATGAGGCGAAGCAGCGGCTCATGGCTGCCAACCGCCGCATAGATAACAGCCTGGACGAGGCGACAGTCATTATCCTTCACCGGGGCTGCTCATTATGCTCATTGCCTGGTGCCTCCCCCAGGGCGTTAATGAGACTCGGCCCCCGGCCCCATGGCTCAGCTCTTACCCGACCCTTCGAGCGCCCACTCCTCGTCCGCACCCGCCCCGTCCATGCCGGCTCGGCGGAAGCACCGCCGACCTACCCCAGTTAATGTCTCGCCCAGCAGCGACCAATGCGCGGGCTGCGGCTGCCGACCCTGGCAGGCTCATCAAGGCCACCTGGGCCGCCAGCTACCCAAGAGGCGAGAGCGGGACCAGGGCTACCTGGGAGCCTACCTGCGGCCGGGAGGAGCCATCCCCTGCGGGCCGCCGTGCGGGATGGCGCCTGCTCGCCCGCATTCGCAGCGCGGCTGAGGGGGGCCGGAGCCGGTCAGCGAGGAGGGAGGAACCTGGTCCTCGCATATAGAGTACAGAAGGGCCTCTGGCACGTCTGAGGGCACCTGAAACAGCATGAGGTCCCGTAATGAGAGGGCTTAAATGTCTCTAATAACACACCTTAGAAACCCAGATGCTACAGAATTGGATCGTTTAATATGAATGAGATGAACCTTGTTATCTTTTCTTGTGGGCTGTCAGGAAGGCAGATTCATTATTTCTTTTATGTGCTCTGGCCACAGTTGTTTAGCGGTGCTTCACACTCTCCATGAAGCGGTGGCTGAGTGGTGCTTCTTGACTTTTAGGTCCTGTATTCTGCGTCCTTTCAGTGCTTAACAATTCTTAGAGAAAACAAGGTTCCTAACAGGGGCACCAGCCAGTTGGTGATCTCACACTACTGCAAGTGTTGTCATCTGCCCAGGTAACCAGCTCTGTGCGCTCACCTGTCTACACAAGATGAAGGGCAGGTGTGAACCAAGCCTGGTGACTGCCTTCTCACACTCAGTGGGTGGAGAGACCCGTGCTGTAGCTTGGGTAACAATGATTTCAGAAGCCAGACCCTCTGCTCTTGCATTCTCTGTGTACAGCTTTCCTAACTACCAAGTGAAGTGCAGCTGGCTGTGAATACAAGTTGTGTGTCTGCAAACAGCAAAGACGGTGCTTGCTGGAAGAATGTGATTTGCTTAATTGTCTTCTGCTGCACCAGGACAAAACATCCTTCATCCCTGTGTTGTTGGTGGCTCAATATCTCATTGCTGGCATGGCACCATTCTACATATGTGTCCTGTCTTTGTTTCAAGGTTCACTCCAGCATCAAAGGTACTGCTGCTACAAATGCTTTCACCGGAGAGTAGTTTCACTATGTTAAATGAGCGTAACCTGAAACACATGTGCCAGCATTTTGAAGGCAGTATAATGAAGATTATCAGTGCACCTGGCACAGCTACCAAATGCAATGGGATGTTATTGTGGCTAAACTGGCATTTAACTTGTTAGCAGCATTCATCTGACAAAATACAACTCGGATCTTAGAGGGGATGGCACCTCTTCAATATTAGATAAAAGCGCAAAGATAAAATTCACTAACTGCTTTAGAGGTTCCCGTTTCTGAGTAATGTGTTTATTTACTGAACTCTAGTCTTAATGTTAGTTTTTTTCTAGCTTTGTGAAAGAGAATAAGAACTCTGGAGAATACTTTATTTTCCTTTAGGAGGGACCAACAGAGGTCTCCAGGGCTGTGAGTTTGTGGTTGTTTTTTTTTAGAGCCATGTATATATTTATGAATGTCATTTGATTTTCAGACATAGACCATTAATTTTTCAGACTCTCAACAAAACTTCTTAAATGTAGTTCATTCTGTATTTCATCTTTGTTCTTACCACAAAAAAGAAATGAGTGTAATTGCCCTCTGAACACTTTCATTTTTTTCTATAGAAATACTGAATTCCTTCTGTTCAGATACACTATGTACCAGTCTCCACAGGTTCCTGTGGAAGCTGATGGTTTCTTCATGCTTTAATTTACAGCCAGCTGTTCAAGATACACTGGTATCTTGATACCAGCTGATCAAGATACACTGGTGTCTCTCAGACAGTGGTCCTATTCTGTGGACCTTCATTGGGGATTTTTCTAAAAATGTATGGGGATTTGGCTGACAAACTCTATGCTTGTATTTCTGCTTTAATAGTGATTTTCTGGGAAGTCAGGTTACCTACATTAGGTAATGCACAGCAAGATCCTGACTCATAATTAAAACCTTAATAGGATGCGGTGGGTATTCTGTCAACTTGATTTTTGTCTCCTGACTGTGCAGTTGTAAGCGATACTGTACTATTAAGTCTGTACAAACCAAGGAGATGTTAATCAGTTCCAAAAAGCATGAAGCAATTCAGGAGATTTGTTTATGGATTTTGGTGGTGGAATGGTGCTGGTATTAAAAATAGTGAAAAATTGAGGCCTATCTGAAATGTAAGAAGTTAAAGTAAACAGGGCATAAGCACTTAGAAGCATAAGCTTCTTTAAATGTTCCTAAGCGTACAAAAACTTGACAATGGGAAATAAAGGCTGTAACTGTGACAGGAAGACGTTAACCTTTGAGCTGACTAGTTATACAGTATAGAAGTGCTGTCAATCATAACAGTGGCCTTGAAGCTTTTCATCTGTCTCAACAGGTGAGACAATTAACAAGAAACATATGGAACTTAACATAGAAACCACCTTGGGAATCTTTAATGAACAATATGCCAGCTAGCTTTTGAGAGCAGAAGTTGAAAGAATAAAGAATTCCTGACTTTCAAGTATCTTAACAAGATGACTTCTGAGTGAAAATAGCAGTATGGCCTGCCTCCTCATGATACACATAGCAAAGATGAAGCTGATATGGGTATGGGATGTCTCAGACTGGCACTGGGCACCACTGAAAAGACTCTGGCACCATCCTCCTGACACTCACCTTTGAGATACTGATATGCATTAATGAGATATCCTCTCAGTTTTCTCTAGATTAAACAAGCCTAACTGCCACAATCCCTCATTAGAGAGATGCTCCAGACGCCTGACCATCCTTGGGGCTACTGGATCCTCTCCAGTAGCTCCTTGTACTGAGGAGCCCAGGGCTGGACACCGTACTTCATACGTGGCCTCATTAGGGTTGAATAGAGGGGGAGGATCACCTCGACCTGCTGGCCACACTCCTCCCAATGCACCCCAGGATACTCTTGACCCTCCTGACCACAAGGGCACACTGCCAGTTCATAGTTATCACTTTTTTCATTTCAGGTAGGCCTAACTTTTGTTCTTAGGTAGGAACCAGCTTCAGTTGGTCTAGGGGGAAAACAGTGCAGGCAGATTGTAGCCTGGACCATAGATTTAAAAGACAATCTCATTATTGCATCCTGTCTTACTGGTATAGTCTACTGAACTTCCATCTTCTGTAGGTCATCCCTTTAGGTCATCCCTCTGTAGGTCATCCTTGATATATTAATGATAAATAACACCACTAGGGAACCTGTAGCAGCAGCCACTTCAGGGCTGGTGTTAATGCCCTAAAGCTTAAGCTATGGATGGTTAAAGCAAGCTTTCTTCACTGCCTCTACTAAGTATAGCTATTTGTACTTAATATTCACTTATAGAGGAAATTTATATAGAAAAAATAATGAACATACTGAACATATATTCAGTAAATATTGAATTACTTACATTTGAGATGAAAACCTAAGTAACAAATTTATTTTAACTGGAGAAGTGCATGAGTTTATTAGGACTGAAAGCAACAGGTTTTTTAATCCAGCTAAAATAATTGATATAAATAGGCTGTAATAAGCTATACTAGATACACCATAAATGGAAATTAAAGGCAGAATGTTACAGAGAAAGAACGCTAGAGATGTGAAGACAACCAATTCTTCAAATATATTAAATGCAAGAAGGCTACACATTGCTTTCTTTGGTGTATTGATTCTTCTACTTGATCTTGCATTGACTGAATGCAAACACTTTAACAAAGAAACAGTATTTTACAGTTGAAAGCATATCCTCAAATAGACAGGTTCTGCACAAAAGCAGGACTGCATGTAAACTGGACTTAAAACCAGAGAGTTCTAAAAAAGAACAAAGTCCCTGGTACATATTTTGACTTTATCTACAGTGGCTAAATATCTCAGTGTTTTCTATAAGTGTGCAAAATGGTGCATGCAATACCACGTCAGCTATCAGATTAAGAGCAGCAGGAAAGTGCCACTTCATTGCATATACCTAGTCATGGTTATTTTGTACAGGGCATGTACCAACACATAGAAAAATCTTCGTCAAAAGTCACTGTTACACTTTAGTGGGACGCGGAGTAAAACAGAATCACTTCAGATGGCTTATTGGGACACTTGTTCAGAAGAGAGGTGACCTTTGTGAAACAGATTCTTCAGCTTGATACCTCTTACGGTGGGGGAAGTCATCACAGTGGCTTCCAATAACTTTGCTTAAGTCCAGTGGATTTCCTAGTGCTGTCAAGGACTCTTCCCCAGTATGCCGAGACAGAGTTAATTTTAGGTAAGATGAAATGTTTGCCTATCTAAAAAACAGTAGACTTGCACGATCAAATAGATAAATTGTTCTAAGTGGCAATTACACTATGGAGATCAATACCATCAAGATATCAGGAGGATTTTCAAATGAAAAACTCTCAACTCTGTTGTGCTTTGCACTTAGCACCTTCCTTCTCAGGAACTCAAAGCTCTTAGTATACTAATACTAGCGAATTTAGCCTCACAACATCCAGTGAGGTAGGTAAGTTTACCCCCATTTCACAGATGGGAAGAATGATGCAGAATTCTGAAGTGACTTGCCCAAGGTCCTGCAACTTGTCAGTGTCAAAACCAGGAACATATTTTCAGAGGTCCAGATCCCAGATCTCTGTCCAATTGAAGTCCCTCCCTGCTACCACAAAGCAAGCAACACATGCAACTTTTTTTCCTCCTACTGCTGCCGTAGTCCTGGTGATACAGAGGAAGTGAATGATTTCTCCTGATTGAATTCCCACTTTCTTTGGCAAAAAACACCTGATTCTGTCAAAGTGCTGTATTATGCTCTTCGCAGAGGCGTTTCTTCTGAGGCACAATAGAAAAAAGATGGTTTCCCTGTGGCAGGGAGACTGTACATGTCCAAAGAGTCTTATTTCTTGCAGAAGACCTGCTGCTTGGCATTCTTCACACGTTGTTCCTCCTTCAGGTTCTTCTGTCGTGCATGTTTGCTGGAGATGAGTTCCACATGTTCCGAGGGGAACCAGCCTCTCTCCCGGTCTGAGAGCTTTACTCCTTCTATCCATCCTACAGTGAGGGTAAAAGCAGAACATGAGGCAAGAGTTAAACATTTTTTTCATTCTTCCCAAAAAGCCCCCTCCAAAAAGACCCTAACATCAAAGAAAGAGACCCCTTTCACCTTCCAAATAAAGTGCCTTAATGAAAATGAAGACTCTCTTCTCCTTCTGAACCTAACAGTCAGGAAGGAGAGGCTTCTTCTGAAACCTGATTGTGTTGTTAAAGTACACTACTACAGTAACTTCCAACCCATAATTTAAGATACCCATTGTTTATTCTGCTCACCATCATTGCTGTACTGCATAACCATGATGATATCTGCTTTCTCCAAAGCCAGCTCATCATTTTCCCGAGCCTTGTAAGTCTTTATGCATTGAACCTGTGGTGCATCTAAAGGGGAAGAAAGATCATAACTGTATACTAGAAAACAACAGTAAATGTGTGTGCATCAGCCCCAGAGCAGGTAGGGTATAAGGGACTGCCCAAACACTAAAAAGCAGAGAACTGGAAGGGAGGTTACAGGTCTTCTACCTAGTAGGAAGAGTAAAACCAGGTAAAATAACTGGCAGAACCTGGCAGTGAGAGAAAGCCCATGAGTATCTTCTTTATTCATAAAAAGACAAGTATTCTGCCTTGGAATCATTCTGGGATGTTCCACCTTGCAGTGACTCCAGCCCACCCCCATTGCTGTAGCAGCAGAGAAGTCTTACCAGGGCATTCCAGGAGGTCCAGTTCTCCTCGTGGAGGAGCCAAAGCAGAGATCCACCTCAACTTCTCACTGCTGGAAAACATCACCAGAGAGGTGTCAGGATCCAGTGTGAGGGATATCAGTCTGATGACTGGAATGGGTGTGTGTGCATACAGGTTTGCTTACAGGAGGGGTCAGGGAGGGGGTACTTAGGGGAAGCCAAGAAAGTGGAATTGGAGAAGGGAGATGGGAAATGGCAAAACTATTTTTGGAGGCTGATGTTATGACATAAGATAGTAGTACTACATGAGCAGCTATGATAAGAGAGAAGCAAGGTGGTTCATTAGGGTCTCCTTATGGGAAGAGGTTGTTTTTTTTCAAGTCCTCTGGTCAGCAGCTGCATTTGATATTTCAGCATTGGGGTAGCTGAGGGACAACTATCAGGCTCCTAGGAGGTGTCTGGCTATGGTAATGGGATACACTGAGGGTAACCTTGAGCTCTTACTGTGTCTCTGTACGAAACAAAAACTCCACTCTCTTTCCCTGGTAATTCTGAAGTAGAAAGAGGCGAAAAACATTTTTGTTTGTTCCATGCAGTTTCATCTCGCACTTCTCCCCACGCACATCTGAGAAAGCAGCATGATCAAACACAACAAAACGTCCACCCCTGCAGGTAAAGAAGAGGAAGAAAGCAAGAGGTTTTAAAGTGATGAGAATGACAAAGTGAGTTCACATTGTCTTCTGATGTTAGGAAAGCAAAAAGCTTTTAATGAATCTTCATCTATTCAGGCCTTAAGCTTTGTTCTTGCTAGAAGTCTCAAAAGGACAGAGAAGAGAGAGACAATTTAATGAAAAGGGTAGAAATACCAAGCTCTGTCCTGTCAGATTTTTTTCTTTTAGAACTTACAGCTTAAAAATAAAAACCACCCCCATAAAACCCAACATTACCAACCATTCTTTTAGTGTCTTGACAAACTAGTGATTTGCACATTCACTAGTCTTCATACTGTCCTTTAGGAAGCAATTTTTTACCAAGTAAAACTAGAATAATGTTTATTATTAAAGTGTTCCATATTATATTCTGCCTTTCCATCCCTATAAGTGTTGCACTTGCTCTAGGGACCAGAAGATATCTTATTAGTATGTTGTAATTAACAGTTGGTACTATCAGTTTCCACATACTCCTGTGATACTCACATAATGTAGGGTTAGGAGAGTGAGTTGACAAACGCTGCCACTTGCTGGCAGGCAGAGGGAAAGGACTCTCACCAAAGCACAGAGCCAGAAAGAGACAGGTATTTTAGAAGGGGCAGGAAGAATTGTGTTGAAGCACTCACTCCTTGGGCCGAGACAGGAGCAGACAGTCATTGAAAAGATGTAGGTAGATGGGACGGGTGGTGACTTTCCATTTTGGACTCAGGGTGTTGAAGTCCAGTGCTGTCAACTCACCACACTTCACAAGCCGCCTGGACTGTGAGATGAGTGGAAATATCTGCAGGGCAGCAATAAACATTTATGTCAAGCATGTACAAGGAAGTCCGTATCCATGAGTTTTGGATTTGCATTTTTGCCTTTCTCTAGAGGAAGTGTTCTTTCACCCCTCCAGCTAGACAGGTATAAGTCATGGTAGGCACCTTCAGCTGAAGGCTGATGTGAACAATTGGGTAAAGAGCTGACCTGTGTATGATACTGTGGTTCAACAGTTCTGTGTGTATTGGAGAAGAGAACAAAAAGTCAGTGCAAGTGACTTTGTGAGAAAAGAGAAAATAAACCAGGATAGAGCAAGGCCCAGGGAATGGATGAGCTCACCTTGCACTCAAATTCAATCTTCTGGCTGAGGTAGATCAGCTCTTCAGTGCTCTTCATGCGCTGGACATTTTCATTGCAATCCTTGATGAGCTGCAGAGGAAAACAATCAGTGAGGTGATAACAGAACTGCCTGGTGGGATCAGTACTACTCCCAGGAGCCCTTCAAGGGTCAATATAAGTGACAATTCCTTAGGCATCCTCCTGCAAAAAAGTATTTTTCCAGGTAAGCATACTGAACTCCTTCATACCTTCTTTCTTAAGAAAGGCATTCTTTAGATGAAGTCTCTGTGGTAAGTTTTAACTGGGATACTGGGAGGAATATGAGAGACATCTCTCAGCTGAAAAAGACTGAATTGCTGGTAATTTGGAAGCAGCTCTTACTAGATGCTCCACTGTAAAAACAGGAGGCCAGTTAGATAGACATCAGCCCTGATTTTCCATAACCCAGAGCTTGTTGCCAGTACCTGTGAGGACAGGACACAATGGAACACAGGTGCTTCAGCCTAGAAGCTGCCTACATAGCCATCCTGAGGTGTTACAGGGCAGCTACGTAACAGCATCACAGACATAACACTGGCTTGAACACAGCCAGAGTCCAAGGATTTCAGCATAGGACATCTTGCCCCCCAATCTCAGACTCCACTGTATGCTGAGTATACTGGGACAATCACTTCTTTCACCTGGTTAGGTATACTGTGCTTAATGCATCCCAGGATACCACTGGCCCTTTTGGCTGCCAGGGCATGCTGTGACTCATGTTGAAGGCATCATCAGTCAATACCCCCAGATCCCTTTCTGCTGGGCAGCAAAATGGGTTGACTGCCTTACCTTTTCAAGTGCATCATATGCCTGTGTTGCTTGTACTTCCTCCTCAGATCCAGGCCGAGTTCTCTTCAGGATATTCTGTGTGAGAAAAGATTTTTTTCATAATGCAAACAGGGAAAGCTGGACACGTGTATCTGGGAGGGGTAGGAGAAACATGTCAGCTTCAAAGGAAATTAAAGCAGTGGTAGGTGATGAGATACGGAGATAGGAAGGCCAGAAATTTGAGCTGTAGAATGTCACTGATGAGCTGCATTGAACACAGCACCCCTAAAAATCTAAATCATATTTACCATCATGTACAAGTTACATAGCACAGGAAGCAACCACTAATCCAAGCACTAACAGCCTTACAAACAGAATCGTTCTTTGCCTGATACTCCTTTTCTGCTGTTAAAATAGGGCTCAAATAATCAAAAAAGAATTTCAGAGAAAGAGATCAAAATTAATTCATTAGGCATTTGCAGGTTCCCTGTCTGGAAGGCTCCTATCAGTCAATGTTGCAGGCAAAGAGTAGAGACAGGCTGCCTTTCAGAGAGCAGCCAAGGAACCCTTGCTTTGTTTTTGTAGCAGGAAGAAAAAAAAAAAAAAAAAAATCAATACTATGTAAATCAAATGTTCTGAGTAGATTCCATAAAATATTTACTGGAGTACAACTGAGGTAGTGTTGCAACAAAAGTCATAACCAGTATACAAACTGCATTGTCTCACACAGGCTATCATGTTCAACTTATGGTGCTGGTCTAATGCACAACAGGCATAAATATGATGATAAATGGGTTTGGTTTTGCAAAGGCATATTCACAATATACACAATAGAGTGGCTTTAGAGCATCTTGCCAAACTTGTCACAGATGCAACATAAAGGGCTGTATGCAGTCCTTACACCCCATGCTTGGACTTTCAAACTTGAAGAAGGGTCATCTTGAGAACTAGGAAGCAAAGAACCACCACAGTTACCTGTAGGAGGAGTTTGAGTCGAGTGATGCGCTGGAAAGGGAGGATGAGGAAGGATTTCAGTGAGAGGCGCTGGCATACTGGATCACTTTCCAGTCTCTCCAGGACTTGCTGGAACCCTGCGTTTCCATTTCTGTGGGAGTGGTAAAGAAAGAAGACATCCAGGCATCACAGCAAATAAGTAAAGTCTTCCTACTATATTTCAGTGAGTGTTGGAGTACTCCAAACAAGTCAGATTTTGTCCCTGGGGCAAGAGACAGATGTTAAGAAGCTGCACCACTGCTAGTGAAGAGCAAGTATGGGTTTCTAACAGCTACAGGACAGCAGTACAACTTTCCTCTTTCCTCTTTCTGCCATAGCCCTCTGGAACAAGACTCAGAAGTAACAGCTGTATTTCTTTTCCCCTGCATCAGTATGGCACCTTTCAGAGAGACAGCGGTGGTTTGCATTCTTTCCTTACACTGAATGCTCCAGCTCCAGGGGCTGTGTTCGGGCCTGGAACCAGCTGCTTTCCCTCCCTTGCTACTCCTGAGAGGAGCTGCCTTTCCCCCAATGCCTCTCTTACCCCTTTAGACACAGCCATTGCCATCCAGTTTTTCATGTTGGGCAGGAGCACATTTTTATCTGCTAATGATATGAGAGTAGCACCAGCCATCAGAATAGCCAACTACATATCCTTGAAAAGATGGGGAAGAAGTTTGTAGGCCCAATAGAAGTTGTCCTAGACAATATCCTGGAGATCCCTTCTGTGTGGAACTAAGCCTTCCGTGATGGGAACAAATTGTGAGGCTACATCTTTCCCTGTCAGCAGCACCCAGAGATGGTGCCTGAATAGCCTGTTTGGAACAGTGTCTCCTCCTAGAATTAGCATAGTTTCATTGGGATTGGGTTGTTATGAAGGGAAGCACTGCAAGGAAACCTTTCTCAGGGTTGGGCCTGTGCCTGATGAATGCTTGGTTGTGCCACTGGGTACAGAAGAGGAGGGCAAGAGATCTTCCACTTCATGATCCAGAGCAAGAGAGACTGATGGTGTTCTCTGCCCCCATTTTAAAGACTCCTGGATAGCCACTTTAAACTTTTTCGGCAGCAGCCATATTTTTCTTAGTGATAGTTATGTCTGGAAGTTTCACTTTATCACTTTCTGGTTCTTACTAACCTGAAAACCACAGTCTGAAAACCATTATCCAAGACAGCCTTCTGTAGAAGGCAGACAAAGAATGAGCTGCAATAGAATCAGGTATTAATCTTTCCCTTTCCAATGCTATGGGAGAGCAGCCTGCAGCAGCTCTGTCCTACTGTCCCAAATGCTACTGAATTGAAGAAGGTTTCTGCCTATTCTGGGGGTGTAGTAAAAGCAATGGCCAACAGCCTGTGATCACTTGCATTCCCCATCATCTGAAAGAGTGGATATTTGAGGTGCAGCAAGGAAGTAAGAGGGGAAAAAGGTGCAACGAATGAGTAAACTCACAGTAACCGCTGGAAGGTCTGCTCCTGGTATGTCTGGTTTGTTACATATGGTAGATACACCCTGCGGAACTCAGGGGCATGCTTCAGAGCCACATCGCACACATGGAAGGTGAACATGTCCTCTTCAAATTTCTCCTCCAAGTCAAAGAGGAAACTGCAGCACATGGTTGCGGTAACATAAAAGGAGAGGGAAATACCAGTGTCATTCAGTAAAGCAGGAATGGCTTCAGTCCTCCAAAATCCTGATAGCCCACATATAAGCACAAGACAGCTCTTTACTTCTAGAGAGAACACAATGCCTGTACCATGACAATTTAAGGCTAGATAGCAGGGAAGCAGCAGAGCAAAAGACCTCTGCTCTTAAGAGATCACACTTTTAAAGAAGTTGTCAGGAAACAACTGAAAATTAAGATATCACCAGAACAATCCCACTAGTAGAAATGGAAAAGATAACAGCAAACCTTACTACTTTAGCAATATGTGTAGCCAAGCCTTGCAGGAGAAAAGCAGAACAGAATCCTACAACATACAGGATTCCTTGCATGTGGTGTCATGTCTACATTTTTATGACTTACGCTCAATTGATTCACATTAGATTCTGTCAAGTGATGGCTGTAACTCAGTCTTTTTTTTTTCCTCCGCTCTTTTTTCTTCTTTGGTCAGGGCTTGTGCAGCTGCTTCTTTTGTTATGTATTTGTCAGGAGCTGCACTTGGTTTGGACTGAGGTCTAGTTAGTTAAGTTTAGTTGTAGTTGAAGCCAATAGCACATGGCTACAGTAGCGTTTTGAACATTTTGATCTCCTGCAATGAGCTCTGTGCACAATTGCACCATAATATCCAGAACTTAACACCAAGATTTACATTGCCCTGTCACCTAAAGAGGTGAACATTCCTTGAAGGGCATCATTGATATGCAGTCACGAAGTGTTACATGTGTGCATCTACCTTGAAGGCCAGTGAACATGCAGAACAGGAGTGAGAGATGCTACTGATGGACATGATGGGCTGTGTCTGTGGTTCATGGAGGGTGTTAGTCCTGGAAGCAGAGGGCCACATCTCACCTTGCACTGACATCACGTACATCCTGAAGGCGGGAGAAGAGCCACTGACGCTCTTGGTTGGTGAGCATTGCCTGGAGCTCTGCTGACCGCTGGAAGTGGTCCACTGCCACGTTTAAACTGCGCAGGTACGAAGCCTCAGACATTATCAACTCAAACTTGGCCTTGAGAGAGAAAAATCAGGGAGCACAGCATCAGCAGACTACATGAGTCTGTGAGGAATCTTACAGACAGGAGACAGGGGCAAAACAAGAAAACCTCCCAGTGCATGATGTAAGTAGTATTTACAGAAGAGAGGCTTTAGGAATGATAAGCATGCCATTATATATAGCCTGTTTGTCTTTCTTTAGAAGACAGACTTGCGGTGTGACTTAAAACAAATACAGCTACCTGCTCTCATTTTACTTTTTATTTCCCCTCCCCCCAACTCCACTTTACTAGGTTCCCACAAATTTTCCACCATCTGCATCACCCACATTTTTTTTCCTTCCTCATGTTTCCCATGCTGGTTTTTTGCCTTTCTCTGGGTCCTTCCATCCACTTCTAAGTTCCTCCAATTTTCCTTACTCAGTTTCAATATGTATCATTTTGCTGAACCCGTCATCTTCCTGTTTTCTCTCAGCCCTGCAGCTCACACAGGTCAATTCAGTAAACTCACACTCTACCACAAAAACTACAATTCACTGTGGTTTTATTAGCATCTCTCATAACCTTGTGTGTGGAGAATGATGGAAAAAACATTCCTTGTTTTATCTCATTCCAATTCCCCATGTCTGTTTTCATGAAATTACTGATATAGTCCAGAGTCCTTCAATGCTCCTTTTCTCTACCATTCTGAACTTCAGCACTGGGTAGAAGTGACCTCTGCATTCAACCACCTTCATTCCCACATCAGAATACTTGCTCTGCACTTTAACCACCCCCCTTCTGGGGACTCTTTTCTTCACTACAGACCACCCATCTATCTTGTGAGATGTGTCCATTACCTCTTGCAGCTTTTGCTCATCACGGGACATATTGAGAAGCATTCTGCTGCCCCGTATCATGGGGATGTCCTGCCAGAGGGACGCGTTAGATGAGACTGACAGACGCTGCAAATATGAGTCCTGGGGAGACAGCACTTTCCTCCGTAGCCGTGGGGAACTTGGAAAACTTGACTCTATATCCTCTGAGAAAGAATCCACTCTCTTCTGGCTTTGAATGGCCTTGTTCAGCACCACATCACTGTACTCCTGATACAGCAATCTTGCTGTGAATAGAGGCATATACATTCATAATTTTTATAGAAGATACTTAACCCTCTGCTTCAATCTGGAGAAAATTCTATTACTGTCTCATATTAGGATAACTGAATACATGAGACCACGTGCACCTGCTATAGCGTGCCTGAGTGTACTGCACGACTCTGGTCTCACTCCCTCCACTGACCACCACGCTCTTAACACTCTCTCCTTCCTACCATGTGGCAGGAGCCCATCTCCTTTATGCTCACTCCAAGGGTGAGAGTTGATGGAGGAAAGGGGTCTGCCACAGCACTTCAGGCAGAAGGTACTTACAGGAGTTGATCAGTTTGGAGTGCCGGCGCTTGAAGTTCTCCATTGCATCTGCAGGTTTCTTCTCTCTATGAGAGAATAAAGATTTGGAAGCAAAGAGCGAATGAAGAGCACAGCACCAGAGATGGCTTATCCAAATCTTAGTAACAGACCTGTCATAGCAAGAACCTCTCTTTCCAACGAGCTCAAGCCCCACATACTCTGCCTAACAAAGTTTGGCTTAATGGAAACACTGTCCTAAAGGGACAGAAACACTTCTGTTGCAATGGGTTCCTCACTCAGAGGGCACAGACTGAAACATAGGCTTATGTCATTTTATTATAGTCTTCTATGCCTTATCATCATCTTCAGTCCCTCAGAAACAATGGAGAGCATCAGGTGTCCGTGCTACACAGGGGTGGGGCAAACTCTAAGGTGTCCTTGAGAGACTTACCGCAATATAACTGTCTCTGAACTGACCGGTAGCTCCCTGTGTGACTTGTGAGCTTCTTCCTCTGAAGGAACAGTAGGAATTTCTGCATATAAGGCAAGTAGAAAGAGAACACATAGGTCTGTTTTTAGAGTCAAGCTACAACCCAATAGAGATACCACTCATCTATACGCTACCTAAGTGGTGGTCTTGGGTTGGAGTACTGATATCCTCCTAAACTGTATTTCTGGGTCAGAAACATTCCAGTTTTAATAATCCTTAACATTATTTACACTTTACATCTGTTACTTAGCCACATCTGCATATAAATACAAAGGCTGACACTTTCAGCAATGACAGTAACTCAATCAACTTCCTTTTCCAGTTGTCCAAGTGAAGATGCTGCTCCAGGCCTTATCATCAGGTGCTGCTTCTCCCCTTTCAACACTTCTGGCCACACATCAGAGGATCAATGGACCCAAAGTCATTAGTCATATCTGAGTCTTCGACTTTCTTTTGTGGATATTGAGCCCCAAAAAAGTCTTGGTGACTTCTGGGGCAGAAATACTGGACATCTAAGAAAGTCACTCCTGTGAAGAGTCTCACAAGGGATGCAGCCTAAGAATGAATGCTGCAATCCAGTTCTCAGGTTTATGTACTATGTGAACATTCACAAACAGCTGCTCGAGTGATCTTCTGTTTACGTAAAATGGGGATAGCGTGGATTTTTCTTTTGCTTTGTGAGGGATTTAATTCAATAAGATGTGAAAAAATTATATATAAAATTTGTTGGAAGCAGAAGGAGTTAAAAAACCCAAAGACTGAGCAGCAAGTATGGGTCAGGGGAGAGACAGTACTGCTGCCTTGAACATTTTAAAATTTAGAACTAAAAATTTACAGGTCAAACACATGAACAAATCTTGATTCAAGTGCTGCCAAATCTTTTACACCCCTCCACGCTCCCCTCCTTTTCTTCTGTGCCAAAAATCTAGCATGTTGTACAGCTTGGAAAATAAGCTAAGTAAGAGCTCAGAAGAAGCAAATATATTTAAAGCTTTTGTAAGGTATAATAAAGAACAGACACACATCACAACAGCAATACTGTCTGAATAAGCTACATTACAGAAGATGCATGCTGTTGTTTGTGACATTGGTGATTTGGCTTCTATGCAAGTTGGGACCTTGGATATGACAGATTTGTGTTCTTATCTGTAATCTCAAAACCTACATTCTCAGGAAGATCATCTCTTTCAGAAGGTCAAATCTGAATCTCGAGGTGCCCTTTGCAAAATAAAGGGAGGTAGCACCTAAACAAGGAACTAAAACGTGGTAACAGACACGGGGTACTGAGGGTGTGTGCATGCGTTTTGCCTACTGCTTGGAAACAGGCTGCTGCAAGTGCAGCAAAACGCAACGGCCACGTGATGGCAGCAAAGATGATGAGCAGAGGCTCTAAAGCGAGCCCCACCAAGAAACTCATTCCTGCAGATAGGCCAAAATAACCCGTGTTACTGGGTAAGGGTGACAGATCACAACACACGGAGATGGGACAAGAGGAGAAACTGGATGCGCCATTGAGGGGTCAGGGATTGGTGAAACGTGATAAGCTCTCTGTTGCATATGTCAGAGCTAAACGAAGGGACGGAGCCCCAGAGTTCAGGCCTATTTGAGAACAAGCAGGATACACTGGTTCCAGGATAGCAGAGAGGAGCTAGGGGAGAACTGGGATGGGAGAGCTTGAGACAGTACAGCATGGGGGCTACAGGAGTATTACCAGCAAGGCACAAGAGCAATGCTGAGCTCTCAAGCTGTCATGCCTATCATATTGCCTATTTAATTTAAACCTAAAATTCTGGTATCTGCAGTAAGGCTGGGGAGTATGGGGAGGGAAATGGAGGAGAGGACTCACCCTGCAAGATGTCTGGGGGTACTGACATCCTCTTCAGGCCCTGACGGTGCCAGTCCTTGCTTTTTACTCGGCGTTTAATTGGGTGTTCTTGATGGGCTGCTGGCTCCTGTGCAACGACCCCGGTTGTTTTTTTGTCAGGCCAACTTGATGATTTTTCCAAGGGTGAATGTCTGCGCACTTCCTCCTTTGGCTGAGCAACCAAGTGGCGTTCTCCCCCTTCTCCTTCTAGCCTTTGCTTGACCCTCCTCTCACCTTCCATTTTCTCTGTGATTGCTAATGGAGCTTTGATGTTCTTTGTGTCCATACCAAAGATGCCTGCCTGTTGTTCCCATTGCAGATCCCCAGAGACGTCCTCCTCTTGGCAGGTCCTTCTGGTGGTTGGTGGTGATGGAGGGCTGAGCTGGAGGAAGTGGATTGGATTGGTGAATGCCAGCATTGGAAGTGGCTGTGCAGAGTTTCTGTTCTTGGAGCCTGTGGATGTTATCAGGCCTTCCAGCGAGGGCCACGAATGGTCGTCAGGTGGGGATTTTCCACACTGCATATCCATGTGCTGGTACACTGTTTCAGAGCATCCAGCCAATGCTTCATTTCCAACAGCAGAAAAGCTTTTGGCTAACAAACTGACCCCTGAGTCATCAGAAGTCTCTGTATCATGGGTACCTGAATCACCAAGCTCCCACTCTCTAGTTAATGGAACAAGGTCATCTTCTGCTACATGGTCTCCATCAGAAGCAGAGGCCACAGTGTTAGAATCAGACACAGAGGTGGCAGTCCGTACAGAATGGCTTATAGCAGGGTGAATGGACAGTAACTTATTATCCTCCATACCGCAGCTGAGATGTGACATGGAGTAGATTACAGGAGCCAGTGGCTGGTAACTTTCAAGGGCTGGAGGTTGAGTAAGGTGGTTTGCATAAAATGCAGGGGCCTGAGCTTGACGGGGTCTTTGGACAATGGAAGGAGGATGAACAAGCTGTTTGGCATCAGTCTCAGACACCAGAGGTAGGCTTGAGTGGGACACATGGGACAGAGATTGTTTTGGCTGGTTCATGGCATGGACCATATCTTCTTCAGAAGGCCAAGTGAGGTTGCTCAGGACTCTGGAGATTCTGGATCCAGGCTCTTCTTGGTTTACACTGCAGTCAGACTGATCAAGTAAAGGCATTTGTTGTGCTTCATGATCCACATTTGCTTCCATTTCTTTTCCTTGGATAATGGCACTTTTTTCTGGGGGGGTTTGCTGAACTGTCCCTGGGTGGTTCAGGGGAGTGGAAGTCCTGCCTAGTGTTTGTAGTGGTTCCAAAGGCCCTGCAATGATATCCAGAGTCCTCCTATCCTCAGGAGGGATTCCCTCTAGAGGAAGGCAGCTCGTGCACATTACAGAGAGAGAAGATGGGCCACTAAGGTCTTCGTGAAAGCTTTCCTCAGAAGTAAGGAGTTGATGTGAAGCATCAGCCTCTCCTGGATCAGTACTCCCAATAGCAGTTTCTTCCCCTGATGTTGGGTCCCACACTTGTACAGAAGCAGCATCTGGCTTCTCTAATGAGTCTAGCAGTTTGTTCAGGTTAGAGACAGGATGGTCCTCAGGAGCCACAGAGGCTGTTCCACTACCACCCTCTTGCTGTGTGCCAGATGTTGAAACCACAGAGGTGAGCTCTGAGGGTAAAGCTGGAATGAAGTCCTGAAGCTCAGCTTTTCCCAAATTTTCTGTAATAGGATGAAGATCCATGGTATCAGGTAGCTCTAAATTCTTGGTACCAGAGGAAGGGTGTGCTGTAACAGAAGTCTCTGGATCCTCTGTGCTAGAAGATGCTGCCACTCGTCCATGGGGTGGTGCATCTCTTTTCTCAAACCTATGGACACCCTTTCCATGTCCATCACTGTACTCATCCTCCCTACCCAGTCTTGTCCTGTCATCCCAGTCAGCTTCTCCAACATCCTGACCACCAATGGAAAACCGGCCAGAGTCTTCCAGGTCTTCCGCCTGGTCAGAGATGTAGCATGTGTGTGGAGGCACCACTGGAGTCTCACCCCCTGGGTTCAGGTTATTTGAGGACAGAGGGCTAACCGCAGGTGGCCGAGACCCACAACCTGCTTCTGCAACACGAGCTTTCAGCAGTACATCACCAGAATGCTGATCCCCAGAGACACGTTCCCCAGGAGGAAATGCTGATCCTGTTTGCTCAGCCAAGAAAACATTCTCCAAACCACACAGGTCCATATTATGCCTGTGAACAGAAGATATCTCTGACCCAAAAGCTGATGATAAAGCCTCCAGCTTGAGCTTTTCCCTCTGCTGTTGCTCCTGCTTAATTTGTTCCTTGTTTTTCTGATCTTTGGACTCTGAAGATTTTCCTCCTTCTGGCAAATTCTGCCCTTTGCACTCCTCTTCCTGCTGAAGTTCTGACACTGCCTCCTCCTGTGCTGGTTCCTTATGCTGTGAAGTATTCACTTCCTCATGTTTTTTAGCAATGTCCTTTACTTGGAAGGCACTCTCTGCTGGAGAGGCTGGTCTGCCCTCTGTTTTTCTGTGATCATTTTCAAGATGAAGGCATTTAGAAGTGGATGAGTTTTCTTCAGGAACCATTACTGTTCCCTGGTTTGTGATGATAGTGCTATTTCTTGTTTCACCAGCTGAGAAGTTTCCTTCTGCTTGTAGTGAACTTTCTTGGTTGTCATCTCTTAAGGTGGAAGACAACTGATGGGAAGAGGAAGACTCTATGTTCTCTTCTAAACTCTTGAGTGCTCTTACACTTTCCTGAGCATCTTCAGAAGTGTAAGGTTTAGCCATGCCCTCTACTGCTTCCTCTGAGGTAGGCTGCTCATCAGTTGCTGGTGCCACTTTTTCGCTGCTTTGCTTTTGCTCTGCACCAGCATCAATCTCCTGCAAAGAATCCGTGGAGATCTTATCCAGTAATGGTTCAGCCTTATAATGCCCCTCTGAAACAGTTTTACACACCAACAAGCACTTAGATGTCTCTCTCTGAGAGGAAGTGGCATCAGCCAAAGGAGATTTCAGATGATGGGCCTGAGAGTCTGAGCCATGAAAAGCCAGTTCTGCCTGGCATTGAGAAAACTCAGCGCTGAGGTCCACAGCCTGCAGGATGGCATTGCCAGGGGCCAGCCCATCCTGGACTGTCCTGAGAAAGGAAGAGTCCTGGTTGCTTTCCAGGTCAACCAGCGTTACTTGCTGAAGTTTCAGAGAACAATGCAGTTCACCCTCCTCTAAAAGCATTTCTTCCTCCAATTCTGAGACTCCCTTTTGAGGCTCTGCATCACCTTGCTCTTGTTCCAGTCCTGCTGGCATTGTTTGCACAGGGTTAGAGGGTCTGCGCAGCATCTCTGCTGCTTTCCCTGGAGCAGCAAGGCAGTCTTTGGGAGTGCTGAGCTCTGCTCCTTTTGCAGAGTCAGACATGCTGGTGTTCATTTTGGCTGAGGCACAAGGGGCATGATGCTCTCTTTCGACTGCTGTAGAATCCCAAGCTTCCCCAGTGGCGCTGCTGGCTTCTGGGGGAGTGGTACCTCCCTCACTGGTTTCTTCAGACTCCATCAGTGGCACATCCTCCTGAAGAAAAATGCATTTTTCTGTTACTACTACAGAATGATATAGTGCACCACATTGGCTTAAAGAGACTTTTAAAAACAGGTACTGATGCAGCTGAGAAAAAAACAGCTAACCAAAAACATACTTAGTGGGTCATAAGAGTTGGGAAACAAATACCAAGACCAAGAGTAGGTAAACACCCAATGTAAGCTTGCAGAGTAACAACAAAATAAAACTACTACCGTCTTTTTAGTTTTACATGCCAATCCAGAAAGTGATTTTGGTCAAAGAGCAGAGATGGTGACCTCTCTGAAGTAGCTGCAGTGCAACTTTAATTATTAAATTATTATTAATTATTCAAGCGTTGGCAATGACTAGCTATCTCAAACTCAAAAGGGGATACTAGAAGGCATTCAGAGAATGAGAAAATCAAAGTCTCCATTAATTTTGGTGGGGCATGGTGGATGAATACTCATGAACTCTTCTAGTGGCTAGCTAAGTCTTAAAAGATCTCCGATTTCTACAGGGAAAAGCTTATAACTGGAGCTGATGGCTCTCTCTACAGACCTCTGTGTATGTGCAACACAAGGCTTTACTGAAACTGATCACAAGAATTGATTAACAAGATATAGGAATGTAAGAATTTGATTAACAGGTAACTGGGACATATCACAAAACATGAGATATTTGAAGGCTGTTAAAGACATGGTACCTCTGGTGTGTGTGAACATACCCATGGACTACAAAGAAAAACTACATCATCATTTCAGTCCACTCTTTTAAGGAAGGGAAAAAAAAAAAAAAAAAAAAAAAGAAAAAAGTCATCTTAGGATTGTTGGACAGTTTCCCAAAGGATATAGTGGAATTTCCCATCCATTATTGCATTTGAAGTCAGACATGACAAAGCACTGGGGAATGTACATTTGGGAAACGTCTGTGAAAGGATGGTGGAATCTGATTCACCGCTTTAATCTTTCTGCCTTCTACCATGACCAACAAACCGTACCTTAAAAGACATGAGAAAGAGACAAACCTTAGTTACTTCCCCTCCCTTTTCTTTTGCCTTTGGAACACCTTCTCTAATATCCCAGCCTGTCTTCTCTATTCCTTGTCCCCTGCTTATCAGAAGTGGCTTATAAATTGCTGCTTCAGGCTGCTTCACATACAGTGGCAGTCATACCAGAGCTTGTAATTTAGTCCAGAAGAATCTGCTGCAATGTGCAGCCACAGTCAGACTTCCCCTTGGATAAAGCTTCAGCATTCTCCTCCTTCATCCTCTCTTACAGACGTCAAAGACTCCAGACACATAGTCCTGCATCTTATGGTCAGAGAAACCATTCCACATTTCTTCAGGTAAAAGCCTGCTAGCTGTTTAGCAGCAAAGGAAAAAAAAAAAAAAAAGCCTCAAGGCCTGGCTCAGGACCCTTCACAAAGCTCGTGCAAGAAAATATTCTTTTTCTTGCTCAAAACAGACAACCTGATCTTTCTTCCTCTGGCATTCCTAATTTCCCTATGACTTTAAAGATGGCTTTTTCCCCCGGTTTTTGCTGTTACGGAGCATGCATGACAATTTCAACTTGGGAGACTCATAAACATTGAAAGAAAAGTGGATAGAAACATAAATCTTTGAGATCAATACTGATTTCCTTGTGCTGAAGTGGCTCTATAGTCATAGCTTTTTGTGATCCCACACAGAAAGTAGTGAGCAGTTGTAAATAGTTGTAACTTCAACAAACAGTACGTTTCAAAGAGATATGTCCATTCAGAAAGCTCCCACAGGGCTTCTGCCACATCTTACACTGTCAGCTAACAGTAAACTACTTTGGTGCTGCCAAACTGTGTTCTGAAACTGTTGCACATGGGAAGGCACAGGACTGTCAGGAAGAAGCTCCAGCACAGAAACAGGAGAGCTTGACAAAGCACAGAAAGCAGCAGGGTCATAAACTTGTAGACACCTTGTCCAAGACAGGACCAACTTTACTTACATTGAGCCCTCCTTTACCAAACGTTCCATGATCATATCAGATCACTCTTGTGCTACACTGCTCTTTGTTCTTCTGGTTACCTGAGCCTCCCATACTACCCAACTAGAAAAATACTACTTCTCACACCTAATACAGACAGCTTTCAAAAATGGGCTCCCCAAGAGCAGAAAGACTGTTTAGGGACGCTGGTGATCTTGGACATGAGCTGATGGCTCAGAAAGGTTTACTAGTACTAAAGACAGGATGGCCTATAAAAGCTTGAACAGCAAGATCCTCAAACTCAAGCCCACACTGTGAGAGGAAGAACAACTCTTGCTCACTGTGCTGTTACGGATGTATACAACACTAAATTTCCTCTAATTAAGCTCAAAGACCCAGTTTCCACTTCCCTGGCTCTGTTGCAAGGGATTTGGACAGGTGAAAGGAGAAGCTTAAAGCTGCATTTGGATTGATTCCATGATGATACTAGGAGACAGAGGGAGTTGCACAGCAGATCAACATTGGAAGCTGCCAAGTGAGATTTGTCTCATCATATTATTGCCAGGTGTTTTGCACACCTCAGGGAGAGCAAGAGAGAAGCTTTGGGAAGTTTGCAGGGACAGGCAAACTTTCTGCAGAGACACTGGGGGAGGACTTACACATCTACTCAGGGAAGCAGTTCAGCTCCTGCTTGCAGGCTGGTGCACTGTCGTGAAAGATGCAGATGTCTCTGCAATAAGGATTTCGTGGAGATGGGAGAGGAAATAGTAAAACAAGACTGACTGTGTATGACTTCACATATAGAGGAGCTACGTACAGGAGCCCAGTAGCTACTAGAAGAGACTGTCTGTGGAGCACTGCCATGATAAGCTCCCACTGCAGGTCAACTTGGTGCTCCACTACAGAGGGGCCCAGAAGACCCCAGGAGCTGGGTTAGACAAAGTAAGCTTTCAACAACATTTGCAGTATGGCCAGTAACATGACAGACGGCCTACAGGAACCCATCTGGCAACTGCCAGCCTCTAGCAAGCTACACAAACTCTCCCAGAAACTTCACCATGACCACGGTTGGGGTTTATCGATCTTTCACATCTCTCTGGATCAGATGCTGAGCTTGCTATCACTCCCTTGTATGCTGACACTATTTGTCAAATGAGATGATCTGTTGTCCCCTTGTTAACGTGAAGTTAGCCACGCTCTTCTCCCAAGAGGGCCTGGAAATCCAGGACTTCAGTTCACATGCACCTAATCTGTAGGTGATTCTGGGCGCACAAACACACTGCAAGCTGGAGACGTGAGATAGTACAGCTGGCCACATATCGAAATGAAAACAAAGGGGCAATGCTTGGTCGTACTGCAGCAGGAGCACAAGAACTGAGAAGGGCAGGATGCAGAATGTGGCCAGGTGAGCAAAACAGGGCAGCAAAGCACTACTGGACAAATTCCTGCAATGATGCACACATCCATCCATGGCTTTCCCAGATTACAAAAAGCAATGTCATACTTCCTTCCAGTGTGGGTTAATTCACCTGAATGGATATGACAAACACTTCAGGGTTTTAAATAGAAAGTACCTCAGCTTCCCTCCCCCACCTCCTCCAACAAGCAAGAAAGGAGAAATAACAAGTGCTATCAAGCACAGACAAGCCCTTCAGCTAGCCAGGAAACAAGGCAGCACAGAATTAAGTGGAGCCTCAAGATCTTCCTCCTCCAAAACAGGGGACAGACCTAGCTTTTGGTGTGACATCTTCACCCTCCCCATGCAGTACTGGGTAGCCTGGGCTGTGCTCCCCATCCCCTCCCCCTGCCCCAGGCGCTGGGGAGGCCCACACACACAGGCTGCTGTGAGCACATTCCCGGCAGAGAAAACCCTGCCCTACATGTCACGGGAGCTGCAACAGCAGAGATGCTCCATAGCCCACTGGGCTGCCCATCAGTGCACCAAGCACTCCATTTCACCAACACAGCAGCAGGGGCTTCTGGCTGCGAGAGGAGAAATCCATTCAAAACCTTTGGGCAGCATGGACAAGGGCACTGATTTTCTTATGAAAACAAATGCTTTCCCAAACAACCCATCACTTGGTCCTGGAGAAGAGAAGGCTGCATGGAGACCTCATAGCAGTCTTCCAATACCTGAAGGGGGCCTACAAGGATGCTGGAGAGGGACTTTTCATCAGGGACTGTAGCAACAGGAGAAGGAGTAATGGGTTTGAACTTAAACAGGGGAAGTTCAGGTTAGATATAAGGAGGAAGCTCTTTACTGTGAGGGTGGTGAGGCACTGGAATGGGTTGCCCAAGGAAGCTGTGAATGCTCCATCCCTGGTGGTGTTCAAGGCCCCACTGGACAAAGCCTTGGGTGACATGGCTTAGTGTGAGGTGCCCCTGCCCATGGCAGGGGGTTGGAACTAGATGACTGTAAGGTCCTTTCTAATCCTGACCATTCCATGATTCTATATCCTTTCTGGTGTGGCCACATATTAGTACAGAAATGCTAAAGCCAGGTTTAAGTGCTGCAGCTCTGGCAGGAAAGTGCTCCACGTAGGCTGTAACAGCCACCCAGAGAGCAACAAGGCTTCCCCAAGCCCCTTCCTGATATTTCAGCTCGGCTTAAGCATCTCAGTCACACGGTTCAGATACACTTTAAAAGGAGCTGGGTCTGTGGGGCTAGCTCAGAACCTGCCTTTCTAAATACAAAATCCAGAGGTCTCTGGGAATTGCCACCAGTTACCATCTCTCTTGGGAGGACACAATTGCTCTCCGATTTGTGAGAGACTCAGGAAAGGGGTTGGTGCAACTGCTCTAACATAAAGCCTGCCCTACCACAAGTCTAAACTTTACTTTGATAGAGCTACTCATGCCATGCCTAGGCCTGCTTTCATATGGATGCTCCCTCCACATGAGAAATGCCCACTGCATGTATTCCTCTGCAAACAAATGGTTACCAATCCTCACGCACCACCCCGAGCTGCTCTATCACTGTACAGCTTATTAAGAGAGGTGAAGGAGTGGAATCAAAACTCTCGAGCTCAGGAAGAGATTACACAGGGTGCTACAGAT